TTTTCCTTTTTTTTTTTCTATTAAATGAGCAAAAAAGTTATAATTAATAATAATTAACAAGTAGAGAGAGAAAATTCCCGAAAGGGGGAGAAAACAAGAAGAAAAAAAAGGAAGAAGCTCTTATTATTGCTTGATTCCGGTGTGTGTGTGTATGAGTTAGATGGCGACGCCGGGGATACAGAATGGAGGCGTTTCCGTGATTCCGGCCGCGCCTGTGGCGGCGCCGGTGGATTCTAACGGCCACTCGGCTGCGGCGCTGAGGCTTGCTTCTCCGATTAGGATCTTTTCGTTCTTCCACAAGGCCATTCGGGCGGAGCTGGCCGGGCTCCACCGGACCGCCCTGGCTCTGGCCACCAACAGGAGCGGCGGGGACATTAAACAGTTGGTGGAGAAGTGCCATTTCTTGAGGTCGATTTACAGACACCATTGCAATGCCGAAGATGAGGTTTGCGCTCCTTTGTTCGCTTACTGTTTGTTGGGCGTGTTTGCTTCGGATGGCTCTTTTGTTAATTGTGGTTTTCAGAGCTATTTTTACTAAATTCATCAATTTCACGTGCTTTCTAGGTTTTTTTTTTTTATATTTTATTATTTTCTTAAGGGTGAACTTGCTTTCGTTTAGATTGCTTGAGATGAACTTATTTGCAGCTAAATTAACTTTGATATTGTGGAAGGCTTTGGAAATAATTGTTTAATTTACATTTCTTATCACACAAGTTTAATTGCCTCTCATGTGCACTGAAAGTTACACGAATTTTAGCCATGAAATTTCTCATGAGTGATGAGTGCTGATTAATTAATTTACACGAGGAGGTATTCTCTATAGTTTATTTCTATACTATGTTATCAGCGGAAGTTGTATGCTCCTCGTAGTGGCCTGAGTACGAATCTCATTTGCATCTTATTTGTGTTCCATTGCTTAATAGTTCCCCTAGAATTGACTGACCACTAAAAAGTATTCTGCATTGGAAATGTCAGGTTATATTTCCTGCGCTAGATATCCGTGTGAAGAATGTGGCTCGAACTTATTCGCTTGAGCATGAGGGAGAAAGTGTGCTCTTTGATCAGCTGTTTTCATTGCTCGGAAGTGAAATGAAGAATGAAGAAAGTTATAAGCGAGAGTTGGCCTCTTGTACAGGGGCTCTTCAAACCTCAATCAGTCAGCACATGTCTAAGGAAGAGGAGCAGGTTTAATTTTGATACTACTTTATGTTACTTCTCAGAAGACCGTATATCCTGGACAACCACTCTTCTAGTAGTGTTTTAAGCATTCCATTGATCAACAGTTGTTTGTCATGCAACATTACATGTAGCATTTGATGCCCCGTATGATCAATAATCCTCTCACACTTTTGTTCCATTTGAAGTGGATGGAGTTCACCTTATTTATTGATTACTATTGGTAAAGCTACTTAAAATAAAAATATCCATGTTAGACCTAGATTAGGTAGGATCACTTCTTTAAGGTCTTGTTAAGCGCTTGCGTTAGTAAAATTGAATAAGCAAATTAAAAGGCCTTAGCCACCATTTTTGTCAGTTAATCAGCCAAAAAATTTTCCAGGCTAGAGCCATCATCGGAGAGTACTTTGAGTGGTAATTGAGAAAATGGGTTGAGGTATTCCAGGAGCTGGTGCGGACAGCGCAATGAATCACTCAAAAACTTACTTGATATGTTTACTTTATTTGGAATTTTTCTTATCTGTTCAATTATTTCATTATCTGGAACCCGTAAGTTTCTTCTTAGTTCCCTTAATAATAATAAAAAGTTCTCTGGGAACTTTAATGAATAAGCTTAACTGTTTCTTTGGAAACTTGGAGGTGATTAAAGTGAACTTCTAGATTATTATACAAAAGTTTGAGGTGTGTGTGGTCCCCATTAACAAAAGGTATTAAGAAAATAAATATATAAATGATGCCGTTTATGCTTTGCATACCATAATGCATGAAATTAAGACTTTGGTATCTATACTGGCACTGTCTATGCCTGATGTAACAACAATTTTGGACCTTTATATCCTGCCTGTCTAAGCCTAATATAACAATTTTGATTGGGCAGGTCTTCCCATTGCTTACTGAGAAGTTCTCGTTTGAAGAGCAGGCATCGTTAGTGTGGCAATTCTTGTGCAGCATTCCTGTAAATATGATGGCAGAATTTTTGCCATGGCTTTCATCGTCAATTTCATCTGATGAACGGCAGGATATGCGTAAATGCTTGCACAGAATAATCCCTGATGAGAAGCTACTGCAACAGGTTAGATACCTTGATTAGAAATGTAGCCATGAAACACCTGTTAATCCCATTGTTATGACTTTTCTTCTTTTTGTAATTAAGATTATATTCAATTGGATGGATGGAGTAAAGATAAGCAACAAGCGGAAACGCAGCGATGATGATCCTAGACTTGCTGGCAGCTCAGTAAATCCAACTGAGAATGGACATTGCCCTTGTGAGTTGTCTTGGGCTGCCACAAAAGATTTTCTGCTGTCTGATTGTAATGATGTCAGACCTTCACCATCTCACCCAGTGGATGATATATTGCATTGGCATAAGGCTATTGAAAAGGAGCTGAATGATATTGCTGAAACAGCCAGAAGTATAAAGTTAACAGGAGATTTCTCTGATTTATCTGCGTTTAACCAGAGGCTTCAATTTATAGCCGAAGTGTGTATCTTTCACAGGTACACAATTGTACTATGACCCATATTTTTCTTTCTCTATCCATTTCTTTTCCTCCTCTTTTCTGTTTCTTTTTCTTAAGTCTGGACACATATTCTTACTTCTAAGTTTGTTTAGTTATCTAAGTAGTGTTGGAATTTGGAAGTTGTAGTATGGGACTGTTGTGCATTATGTGTAATCCTTAAACTATTTATTTATATATCTTTCGTTGTCACACTGTCTTTGGTGGTTTGTATGTATTTTAGTTCTTGAGTGGAATAGCAATACTTTGTTGGGAATTCAAAACACTCATGATCACATATTAAATTTCTATAACATTTTTTTTTGGTTGGTCAGCTTCATTGCCAAGAGATAAAGTAACATTGGCCGGAAATTGAGTAACACTTCAATTTTTTTGCCACATTTTGGACTCTGTTATCTAATGGCAAGATGTCTTGAACTCATTTTTACCTGCTGCAGCATAGCTGAGGACAGCGTTATATTCCCTGCTGTAGATGCAGAAATGTCTTTTGTTGAGGAGCATGCGGAAGAAGAGAGTGAATTCAACAAGTTCAGAGGCTTGATTGCAAGTATTGAAAGTGCTGGTGCAAACTCATCAGCTGAATTTTATTCTGAATTGTGCTCACAAACTGACCATATAATGGAGATCGTGAAGAAACATTTTCTTAGTGAGGAACTTCAGGTGTGCAGGGTTGTTTCCATCGGTAGTTTTGAATGTAAAAGTTCAACCTCATCCAAATATAAGTCAATCTCAGCCTTTTTAAAATTGAAAAAAACAAAAATGCATGTATAGAACATGAATCAGGGTGATCTGCAGGTGAATTATCTGTTGTTGGATCTTCAAATAGAAGACTGGTTTGATTTATTAAACTGCCAACCTAATTACATTCTATTCACTATCTCAGGTTCTTCCACTTGCAAGAAAGCTTTTCAGGCCCGAGCGGCAGCGGGAACTTCTTTACCAGAGCTTGTGTGTTATGCCGTTGCGATTGATTGAATGTGTCTTGCCATGGTTGGTTGGATCATTGAGTGACGAGGAGGCTCAGTGCTTTCTTTCTAACATGCATCTGGCAGGTAGCCTCTGATCTTTTGTTTTTCTCTTAATCTATTAAAACTCCTTAGCAGTTTGTATAATGTTTTAACATGTGATCAACGTCATTTGTTCTAACCAAATTTTTTATTGCAGCTCCCTCATCAGATACTGCTTTGGTAACGTTGTTCTCTGGCTGGGCTTGCAAAGGTCGTCGTAGGGGAACCTGTTTATCCTCTAGTGCAATTGGCGGTTGTCCTGCCAAGGTGCTTAATGAAATGCAATTTGGCAGCTTGTGTCATAACTGTCCCTGTTCAGGTATCTCCAATGCAAGTATGGATATAAGAAAAGCTCAGAATTGTCAGAAGACTATCGAGCAGGGAAACTTATCTGTGGAAAGCAATTCTTCTAATTCTTCAGAAATGGAATCTCGGAATGTCTCTGCCAGTAACCAGTCGTGTTGTGTTCCTGGGTTAGGGGTCAACAGCAGTAGTCTAGGAATCAATTCCTTAGCCACAGCAAAATCTTTGCGCTCATTATCTTTTGGTTCAAGTGCCCCTTCTCTCAATTCCAGTCTTTTTAACTGGGAAACGGATAATACCTTCACTGTCGGTGGTCTCAGAACACGGCCGATTGATAACATTTTTAAATTTCACAAAGCAATTCGGAAGGACTTGGAATTTTTAGATGTCGAGTCTGGGAAACTTGGCGACTGCAATGAAAATTTTCTCAGACAGTTTACTGGTAGATTTCGACTTCTATGGGGTTTGTACAGAGCGCACAGTAATGCAGAAGATGACATTGTGTTCCCTGCCTTAGAATCAAAGGAAACTCTTCATAATGTCAGCCATTCCTACACCTTGGACCACAAGCAGGAAGAAGAACTGTTTGAGGATATCTCATCCGCCCTAGCTGAGCTTTCTCTGCTTCATGAGAATTTGAATGCAAAAAATGTAGCTGGGGATCTGGGCGAAAATCTTGCCAGTTCTTTAGCTCGTGATGATTGTTTAAAAAAATATAGTGAGCTGGCTACAAAGATTCAGGGCATGTGCAAATCCATTAAAGTAACTCTGGACCATCACGTTATGCGTGAGGAGGTCGAGCTCTGGCCATTGTTCGATAGGCATTTCTCAGTCGAGGAGCAAGACAAACTTGTCGGTCGTATAATTGGCACAACGGGGGCTGAGGTTCTTCAGTCAATGCTACCTTGGGTAACGGATGCTCTCACTCAGGAGGAGCAGAATAAAATGATGGACACTTGGAAGCACGCGACCAAGAACACTATGTTCACCGAGTGGCTTAACGAATGGTGGGGGGAGAAGCCAGAAGTTTCATTACAGGCATCCACATCAGATAGTATCTCACAAGGTACTTGGACTTTTTACTTAAGCCATTTTTCCACTTCCCTATTTATTATGTATGGTTTTGTTTCTCCACTAGTAACAAATGTCCAACAATTCAAGTTGACTGATGCTTTATGCGCATTATATATGCCATTTTTTCAGAGCACAATATGCATGAATCACTGGATCAAAACGATCAGATGTTTAAGCCCGGGTGGAAAGATATTTTCAGAATGAATCAAAATGAGCTTGAATCAGAGATAAGGAAGGTTTCCCGTGATTCTTCTCTTGATCCAAGAAGAAAAGCTTATCTTATCCAGAACCTGATGACCAGGTACCACTTATTGTGCTTTTAAATTTCAGCCGAAATGTTCATATTTTACTTCTTATTACCTTAGTACACCTGGCTCATTCTGGTTACATTTGTTAGTCAGTGGATAGCTTCACAGCAGAAGTTCTCGCAATCAGGAACTAATGTGGATGATGATGATTTACTCGGGAGGTCTCAATCTTATCGTGATTCTGAGAAAACTATATTAGGATGTGAGCATTACAAAAGAAACTGCAAGCTTCGTGCTGCTTGTTGTGGAAAACTATTTGCATGCAGGTTCTGCCATGATGAAGTCAGTGACCATTCAATGGATAGGTAACTCTTGAGAATAAAACTACAGTTTGTTTGGAGTCATTTTGTTTCGTCAATGCTTTTTTTTTTTTTTTTGGTTTAATACGATGCTATCTTTATAGGAAGGCAACGTCCGAAATGATGTGTATGAATTGCTTACAAGTACAGCCAGTTGGGCCAGCTTGCAGAACTCCTTCTTGCAATGGGCTTTTGATGGCGAAGTACTATTGCAGTAGCTGCAAATTTTTTGATGATGAAAGGTGAGCTTTTATCTGATCCTTGTTTGATTTATGGCCGATATGTACCATTTAAATGTCAAAGGAATTTTGAAGATAACCCTTTGCAATTAATTGTGGGAGACTGTTGTTTTTATCCAATTTCATCTTGAATCAAAAAATCGTGGATCTGGGGTTGGTTGCATCTTAGAAATTATGTTTTGTGCTCTGTTATATATGAAATTAATGGTAAAATGAAACACCTTATAAAAAGTTTTCCTGTTTTGATTTGGGAAACCCTGCTTGAAACTTTTGAATTCAGAATTAGATGTTTAATTTAACGTCAATGTAACTGAATTTATGGCGGTCACCGATATCTCTGTGGTTCCTGGAGAAGTTCTGGCTGGAAAAGCATATGCGCCTGTTTTTGTAAATGGCTCAAATTTCTCATTAATTTGTTGTTAGAAATAATTGTTTGTTGCACGCTTTCATTTCTCATGATTTATTTTATGTGCAATAATATGTGTTTCGTGAGTGGTGTTTATCCTACGAGGTTACTAGTTTTGGCCAAGCTGAGCCTGTTACTTAACAGTTCTCCTTAATTTTCTTCTAATTTCTTTGTTATCAGGGAGGTTTATCATTGCCCGTTCTGCAATTTGTGCCGTGTTGGAAGGGGTCTTGGCATAGACTTCTTCCATTGCATGACGTGCAATTATTGTCTGGGAATGAAATTAGTGGACCACAAGTGCATGGAGAAAAGCCTGGAAACCAACTGCCCAATCTGCTGCGATTTTTTGTTCACATCAAGTGCAACAGTGAGGGGTCTTCCATGTGGTCATTACATGCATTCTGCCTGTTTCCAGGTCTGTTCTTTATCATTGTCTTGTCATTGTTGTTTTTTTCTTTCTTGTTCCTCCCTGAAAAATTCAACTTTCTTCCGATCTTGGTTTTTGTTATACTAACACTTCTATTTATCTCATCTCAAACTCATATTAGGCATATGCCTGCACACATTACGTCTGTCCTATTTGCAGCAAGTCGATGGGAGACATGTCGGTAAGGAATTAAATAATCTGTTTTTTTTTTTATTCATATTCTTTTATATTCCTGTATTTCTGCATGTAAGTCACTAGCAATAACCCCAAATAATGTTTGACAGCTGGATTTCGTTAGCATTGTTCAATTCCTAACGATTTTGTTAGCAACGATTTATAACTCATTTGATTTTGCATGTTTTCGGGGTTTGGAATATATTCAGATGAAAACCCTATCAAAATATACTAATACAGAGCCATGATGCTTATATTAGAAGAGCGAGGTTTTCTTTCTTTTAACCTGTATGGAGCATGTTTAATCGGTATGTTCCCGAGTTGCATCTCCATAATTTTGCCACTTCTATCAAAACTATCCTTCTTTTCTGTCTGTGTATTCACTTTGGCTGTAGTTGAGATGAGGAGTGCAGTTGTGTTTCTCATCTACTGCTAACTGGAGCAAAACGTGGCTTCAGGATCAATTTGTTTCTCCATTAGATAATGCTCCCCTACCCACGGTGGGCACATGTTAATATGCCCACCGCTTATGTGGCATGCACACATTGGTGATGTTAATATGTTCAAAAAATACATCACCAATGTGTGCATGCCACATAAGCAGTGGGCATATTAACATGTGCCCACCGTGGGTATGTGAGCATTACTGTAGTATAAAATACATGTTTCCTATCTTTTAGTTGTTACAAGAGAACATTACTTATCTGCTGTGCTATGTAACGTTAGATTTCAATTTTGTTTGCTGTGACTTAAACTGTCTTGTCGGCAGTTGTGGACTGATTAAGAAAGCAATATCTCCTATGCAGGTCTACTTTGGCATGCTCGATGCTTTAATGGCTTCGGAGGTGCTCCCTGAAGAATATAGAAACCGTTGTCAGGTGAATACAAATTTTCTATCTTGGGGACTTTCTACAAAGATATATACATTTGAAGAATCTACTTATTTGAGGAAAACCTTTCAACTGGCTGAGTCTAAAGAACTCTTTAACTGGCAGTCTTTTGTAAATATAAACTAAAAGTTGAATATGTTACGAGATAGCAACTGGCAAGTAAGCTGTAACGTTCTTTTTTGTTCGTAGAAGCTAAACCAGAAGCAAATACTACTCTGACAAAGCACAAGACGGGTGTTTAATAATATACCTACAAAGTTTTCCCCATTTTCTTTTTCTCAGATTAGGCTTCAAATTATTTATTAGTGATTGCAAATACTAGTGTGTTTCGAAAATAAAAGTGAGCTTGCTATTTATGCGTGCAGGATATCTTATGCAACGACTGTGATAGAAAAGGAACAGCATCGTTTCATTGGCTGTATCATAAGTGCAGCTTCTGTGGTTCATACAATACGAGAGTAATCAAGGTGGATAGAGACGACAATTGTTCCACGTAGTTTAGCTACATTAGTAGAATTCTAATGTGTTTGCATCAGCTCAATTAATGTTTACGAATCGTGGGATATACATACATGTAAATTTCAGTATGTAACAAAGTTTTGCCTCTTCTCGTATGATCGAGTAAGAGGAATACCACTCCAGACTGCTCGGCCGTCACGAGCTCTCTGCTCATGAAAGCTAAATGTGAGCATCATTAAATGGATGAAATGCTGTGCAAGCTATAGATCTATTTGTGTCCTGTGTTCTTTTTATTTGCGACTCTTTAATGTATGCGTCTTTTGCTGCCTGGAAGTCCAAATTTCAATCAAGTGAACAATGTGTGGATTAAACAATTCGTTTAATATGTACTTAAATAAGTACGATACACAATCTTTACTCTTAACTAGTTTTGATCATGTGCACATGCAGATGCAAATAAAATTTTATATGTTATATGTGTGTATGTGCACTTGCACATATGTAAATAAAATTTTAGATGTTCTATGTGTGTGTATGCAATAGTTAAAATCATAAGTTAGATAATAAACATATGACATTTTATATATTTTAACATTAGTAGAGATTAATGATATATATAAGTTATTTAACTTACATATTAATTATTATATTGTTTGCAATAATATAATTTTTGCAATCTTGATTGATTATAACCAATTAATTAGATAAGACAATGCCTAAATTATTATTATAACAATTGTGTACAAAATTTTAAGGGGTTTGGTTATGCAATGAAATATAAATTTACTAATTTTAATGAAAAACTTGGTTAATGAACTAAAAAAAATTAGAGTTTAAATAAATAATTTGAAAACAAGTTTTAGAATAGAATATATATCATTTAATGAGAATTTATGATTAGTTAGTAGTGACTATTATAAACAAATAATTAAAAATATAATTACTTTATTGATGAGTCTCCTCCTAGATTTGGAGTAGACTGGTTGAGATGAGCTTCGATATGTCTATACCGCCTCTAAATCACTACGAACACCTGCAAGAATTCAATGCCGGAGGGATTTCTGGGTGCAGACCTCCGATGCTTAAGTCAGTATTAAGAAGGGAGAAGATGTTCTGCAGAGAGCAACCGCAACACCATGTGAAAATGCGTAGAAAATATAAAAGTTAGGGTTTAATGTTACTTCAGCCCCTTTTATAGAGGGAAATACCTGTCCAAAATGCCCCGGATCAACCGTACCGATTGCCCGGTTTAATCTGTATCCTAATCACTTCTTAGTCAGATATGAGTTAGCTTAAGATTCCATCATATCCATTAAAGATTCATCCTGCCTTGGTCATTGCACACTTCGAGCCGCTAGGTGTAGGGAGTCGACTTCGAACAATAGGAAGCCGACTCGAATTTAGCATATGAGATCATGGTTTTGCCATTCGCCTTTGAGTTGTTCTTACCTTCTTAAAGCGGTAAGTCGACCTCGAACAAAGATGATAAAGACCTCGAGTTATACAATTCTCTAAGTCGACTTCAAGGTATCGATGTAGACTAAGAGCAATCACCGTGATAGAGGGAGTTGACCTCGAACTGCGAAGGGAGTGAGGTCAGGTGTTCTCCATAATGAGAGAAGCTACCGTCCCTTTGCTAGATATCGACCCTCTCGATGTCCTCTAGCTATTTACTAGCGCCAGATCCTTCGGGCCTTTCTCGCAGCTCTCTCGTGAGTTCAACTTGACGTCCTCAAGTTGTTAACATTGTTGTTCATCGGCTCGAGATGTTACGTGTTACTCAAGTCGACATATTGGTAGTTTAACCCTGGTTGAGTCATCAATACTTAGAATCTTAACCAGTTTATCCTAATATGGCTTTGGAACGTACCCGAATAAGAACGGACGCATCTAAAGGCCAAAAGATACCTTATAGTCACTAAGGGTTGCGACCTTTCAGTGTCCGCAGCCAGCTGCGCGCCCGTGCGCCGCGGGCTCGTACGAGCTCATACAGACTCGAAATTGAGTTTTGTTTTTCCTACTCGTCCCTCAATGAAGTCTTCTAGAGTTATAACATACAAGCATTATGATCAGGTCACGTTTGGATTATCTTAACATTTGTCAAAGACTAAATATTTTACAAATTCAATAATATGAGTTACTTAAATTCATTGCTTCAACAATACATTTCCCACATATACAACAGAGAATTAATTTTTCATTCACCTTAAATGGTTTTGAAAATTTTCTAAGTCTTTGACTTACAAAAAATGATACCGTAAATCGGTACAAAACCAATTTTTCTTACAATCCCTCACATTAATGAAATTAATGCATGTATGCAATACTTGAGTCCCGACGAACCGTCATTGTATCAGGATAGACAGCTTGTGGCTTTGAATATTCTTTAGGGAAATACTATCGGATACACTTGCCAGTTAGTAGCACGATGCTTTGAATTTACCAGCTGTTTGTGTGCACCAAGACAATAATACTCACACAATAACAGCTCTAACAATTTCTTGTTCTCACGTTGTGTCCATTTCGTCCTGGACCATATCTCGGTTTAGTAAGTGTTCGATCGAAGCAGCCTATTTATTTCTCACTTACAAAGGTGATTCTTCTATAAAGAGTATCATGCCTTACTCAACCCGTAGGTATAGGAATCATTAAAAGGCCTCGACTTAACCTCACCACTTAGGCAGATTTTAACACTTGATAGTTCTAGAAATGTGCGAAAAATTTCAAAGTGTTTCACAGAACTGTCGAAACTTAGTTTTCCCATTGAACCAAGTTTTCGGGATCTCCGATTCTCATGGTTGGGTTACCGCTAATATTGTTCGTTTGTTGTGGATTTTTATCAAGATCATTCCCCTAACCAGTTTGTACAATTTATATCATTTCATGCTTTTTATAAACGGATCCGTTAGGTTAATCTTTGACTTTGTTGTCAAATGGAAATTAACAACAACCAAATTGGGATGTATTTTAAGTAAATCTAAATGTTCAGCGATGAAAAGCTTGTGTATTATGTCTGGAAATGTAATTTGTAGTAAGGTGGTATTCTTGTGTCTCTTTTTGGGAAATTCTCTCTTTCCCTTTTATATTTTACATACCATATTTATCCGTACAATAATCATTACATCTTGAAAGGTCAAAGGCGGTCTTTGATGGCTTCTCTTGATAGCTTGCCACTTGGATAAGCGTAATGATGAATTATGCTGAGTTGTCGCCGCCTTACCATGTTGAGGTGGCATGTTTATAGATATCGGCCCACCCAATTATAACCGACATGTTGTAACTGGTATACACTAACCGATATGTGTTGACCGACATGTATTGGCCGACATGCATTAGCCGACATGTGATATCGGTCAACTTAGGGAAGATGTCGGTTCTTGCTGAATCTTTCACTGCGTAATCATCTTGAAGCTGGTGGGAGCGTCACTTGCTTGTATGAACTCTAATCACCATCCAAATTGGTCTTAATCAACGGATTAATGTCGCTTAACCTGGCTTACGGAAAATAATATCAACAGACTTCACATAGTCAACCGATATAACCTCCACACAAGGTAATTTTCTTAATGAAATTAAGTCTCCAACATCTATGTCTAGACTTACTATTGTACAAATTACTTTACACTCTTCCAACTATTGATTGATTATCACAAATAATCATCATGATGAACACAATTTATTTCACCAAGGAATATCTTTTTATAAAATTTCTAAGTCATTTAGCTTCATCCACCCCTTTTGTTCAAATTTATAAACTCGAACTTCATTATGGATCTAGCTTTATACATAGATTATTTTCATGACACTACTCTACCCACCTAAAGTGATCACATGGTCACTTTTATTAGTCTTAGAGTTTTTCATGTCCAATACTCGATTTAGCGTGATTAAAATTCATCACTCGAATTACTCTTGAACAATCTTAGCTCACTTGCTAAAATACAACATCAGGACGAGTACTATCCGATAAGTACCTCAAGCCTCCAATTATTTAACTTATTTTTCCGAGAAACTAATTATTCTCAAATTCTTAGCTAAGTGTAGTGAAGAATTTACGCACACTTTAGCTTGAGATTTTACGAACACATCGAACCTCTTAAACATAAATTTGACATGATTGGATTGTGCTAAACAATTACTTCCAGTCAATTAGAAACTTAATCTCCAAAATTATATCAGAATTTCACAAACTTTAAATGTCGAAATTTATCTATTTGGTATTCATGAACATATCATGATTATATTCCAAGATCATCATATTGTCTGCATAAGACTTACGATCACAAAGAGTCAGAAGAACCTTCATAGACCCATATTGTCATTCAATGAATTTGAAACCATTCGACAAAATTATCAAATTCATTCGACAAAATTATTTCAACAAACTTTTCATGTCATTATTTAGGTATTTCTACCTTGGCTCGAACACCCCCACATTTTAAGGTATATGTACGAATGCTTTTATCTTTTTATAACTCAAACGGAGTTTCGTATCCACCTTCGTGTGGTGCTTTCCATGCCCGAACACCCTCATATTTGAAGGTGTACAAATGGTTTTGCTCTTTTTATAACTCAAACGGAGTTTCGTATATACCTTCGTGTTGTGCTTGCAATTTTGTCAAAATAATTGCTTCCCACATAAGCCTTTATCTTAATAAGAAATTATCACATATTCAAGAGTGATTAATTCTTTTAACTATTTCTTGAATATCAGCATCATTCTTATGTGGTTTGAGGCTACAAAAGCTTTATGAAAATACTTCGTGCATTTTTATAACCGTTTAATATAATATTTTTGCCACTTTTTATTTTAACACAATTTTCATATTTGTTGTATAAATCAATTTTAGATTCACTAACTTTTAGTGTTAAAATTCATAAGTACTAATTTATCATGCCACAAACTAGAACAGTCAATAAATAAGACCAACTTATTTATTTTTTCGCCAATCAATAGATTATAATTTTTACAATAATTATAATTATAATATGACCTTTATTAAGGTCTACTTATGCTAAGAAATCATATTTCGACATA